GGGGTACTCCACCCCCCTTGGCCGCCGCCCCCTTGGGAGATTAGATCTCCCAGGGCCGGCGCCCCCCCTGGGGGCCTATATAAAGGGAGGGGGGAGGGGGGCAGCCGAACCCTGAAGTCCTGGCGCCCCCTCCCCCTGCTACACCTCTTCCTCCTCCGTCACGTGCTTGGCGAAGCCCTGTCGGAGTGCTGCTGTTCCACCACCACCACGCCGTTGTGCTGCTGCTGGAGCCATCATCATCAACCTCTCCTTTCCCCTTGCTGGATCAAGACGGAGGAGACGTTACGCTGACCGTACGTGTGTTGAACGCGGAGGTGCCGTCCGTTCGGCGCTAGGATCTCCGGTGATAGGATCACGACGAGAACGACTACTTCAACCCTGTTCTTTTGAACGCTTCCGCGCGATCTACAAAGTGGTATGTAGATGCAATCTCTCTCCCATGACTCGTTGCTTAGATGAACTCATAGATGGATCTTGGTGAAATCGTAGGAAAATTTTTAATTTTCTGCAACGTTCCCCAACAGGGGGGGGGGGGTTGACGAAAGCATATATGTGTAAGTACCACGATATTTTACGCATCTAAGACCTGATAACTTGTATACAAAACGCATTGGTATCTTTGAAAGGGGGTGTTGTAGTTGAAACATAGTACCTGTAAGTCCTATGTAAATACTTCCTCAGTCCGAAAAAGGTTGTCCTTCAAATGGATGTATCCACCATCAAGTTAGTGCTAGATACATTCATTTGAGGGACAAACTTTTCCGGACGGAGGGAGTAGCACGGTAACTTACGCAACCCAGGCCAGATAACTTGTGTGCGAATACCATGATTACTTTGAACCGAGGGGAAATCGTGGTAATTTTTTGTAATAACACAGTTGTAAAAAAAAAGGGTCAATACGATTAGTTTTCTCTAGTTGAGCAACAAATCCTTAAAGGGTGAGTTGGTTGTGGTGGTGCGCTATGATGCCAGGGAGTTGTGGGTTCGGGAGAAGCAGCTTTCTCGGGCAAGCCTGCGGGGTTGTTCGGGAGGAGGCAGGATCAATAGGAAGGTGATCGTTTGGTACTTTTTACAATCCGCCACACGGTCGACATATATCACAGTCCATATATAAATTTCACTTAGAGAGAAAAATTGTCGCCAAATTCATGGTTACCAGCAGTTTGCTTGTCTTGGTCAGTTTCGTTGTGCAGGTGAAGTTGAGATGGTTGTCCTAAAATAACAGTCCCACTGTGGTCACACGATGTGTTCTACCCGGGGCGGATGCTGCGAAGATTCCAAGCCCAGATCAGACGGAGAAGAGGGGCCAGGGGGACACACACGGTCGCCATCGCCGTGATCGCCGGCGGCCCCTCCCCCACACACCCGCCCCAGCCGCCGTCCCGACCTCTCGCCAGCGATAAGCAAATCCCGCCCGCCTCCACGTCGTCCACAAAAGCCCCGTTCTTTACCACCCCCACCCCCACCTCGCTCCTCCTCTCCACCCGACCCTCCTCCCCGATCCCAGCCCCAGCCCCAGCCCCAATGGCGTCC